AGGCGTCTTGTTCAGCGTGCTGTCAAACCTACACTAGCAAGGAGATCGGGCTGAAACTATAGCTACAAGCTATCCAAGGATGGTACTATAGAATGTCACCTCAAGGTAGGCCTAGTGGCGTCATCTCTTGGTTAGGCCGGAAACTTATCAATCCACCCTCGTATGTCGTTTTAGCATTCAGTACAAGCTTTCATCAAGTCACAGGTTGACCTCTTCAGGTCAGGCAATAGTTCTAAGGATATTTGCATACCCCAACAGTAATTGTTGTTTGTGACAATAAATATCTTTAGGACTAAAGAATTTTTACAAAATTAACTGATCAACCTATCAATTGACTAATAAGGTAATTAAAACGACATACTACAACCTGTCAACTATTGATACTCAGATCACCACAAACGAACCCTTATGCAATAAGTTGTATTAAAGAAGTATATAAGAAACTATATATATAGTACTTAGGTACTTAAATACTTTAAAAATTGCAGCTGTTGTATTTGGTGAGGAAAATAAGCGCCATGTGGAAGAATCCTAGTAATGTGAATATTCTGGAACTGGATAAATATTCAAATTTGCAAAAACAGTGCCATAAGGTTTTAGACCCTATTATTCTAAACGGACATCTACAACAGGTTTAATAAAACTACAGTATTGTTGTTCCTTGATAATTATTTATACTTAATATTTAGAAGTCATTATACAAGCATTTTGTATCAAAATGTTACAACTGAAATAAAAATAAAAGAAAAATAATTAACGTTGTTTGTATTAACAAATACCTATCATTCTTTTTTAATTGTTTTAAAATTGAATCATGACAATAAAATACAATAAGCAAGCAGAGAAGAATTGCTTAGCTATTTAATTCGGGAGGGAACACGCCTAACAGTCTAGTGTAAAGCTAAACCTCCTGTTTTAGGAATCGTAGTATTTTGTAGCACGCTCACGCTTTCTTTTCTACTTCTTTAATATAAAAACTAGAACTGCTCAGGATGTTGTTTATTTCGGCTGCCATTTTACAGATTAATATATTCAAATATATAGGAAAGGAGACTAGGGCGTGGATAAATAAAATAACTAAAAGGACTTACCCCCAATAACTACAACTTTCACTCATTCACTTATGAACATCTTCAGGGCGAGACTTGCGCACAATGTATATGGACTGGGCCGAGAGGTGAAAGCCGTATAGTGGTGACCCTTGACACTTAGGCAGTTAGTATAAGTGACTCCAAAGTAGCGCCATCTAGGTTTCTCAATCATTACATAGATTGCTTAGGATCATAAGGTTACAACATGATGTATGTTTACAGGATTTTTTGTTTAAGCACTTACCCTCCCCCGTGAAAGATTTTCCCCTTTTCTGCCTCCACTCCTATTCCCTCTTCCTAGGTTAGGTTTGTTATGAGTTTGTTTATAATGGAAAAATAATAAATAAAACATAGACATATATATTATATAAGTACCAAAAGTGTTGAAGTTAATGAAAATGGAATTTTCCAAAAAATTAAAAACCCAGAGGGCGCCACTTTTCAGTCTTATACTAACTCCTTAGGGATCAAGGGTCATCCCGATATAGCCTTTCTATATAGAAGTCTAAACGCAAAACTGCAACTCACGGTAGGTCCAGATGGATATTTGAATAAATCTCACATAATTAAACACAGATCATCACGATTATGACTACTCTTTCTTTACTAACCGGTTACTAGATTTCTAGTGAATTACACAACAAGACAGTGAAGTTATATTAAGTTATTTGTTATCGACGTTTTGTCCATGATTACCAGGGACATCCTTGGGGCCCTTCTGATAAAAAAGAACAAAAGAGACCACTTGACGCAGTGCAATTTCAAATCCACGTGCAATTTAAGTAATATTCTACCTCAAAGTAGTGTAATCCACTGAGGGACGACTTGAGATCAAATCAATTTCCTTTCTACTTATAAAAATTTGTCCGATAAACTGATAAAAATTAAATAACTTTTTAATTAATTTTAAAAATTCCGTTTCCAATATAACTTTAAAATTGTATCATCTCTGGCCCCTTTTCTCATAAGTTTCAATAAATGGTTCAACGAAATTTGCAATCGATTTGAACACGTGGTAATATCCTTTAGCTTTAGAGCATAACTGAAACGCTTATCACAAATTGCTTAATGTTTAATACCACTCATCTTTTTGTCGCTTCTTGGGTTAAAATATTACTATATATAGAACTGAGATGTGCGTTTTACTTACCAGCTTCTAAAGAGTACATCAAACAGTTATTGGAAACACTTACCTGAAACAAAGAAAATATTATGTTATTTGATTGAAATATTCGGATATATACGTGCTTAACAAGCACGATTAATTTAACTTCTTTTAGTAGCATGTTTATTAACTTCTATTAACACCATGTACACCTCAAAGAAAAGTGGTTTTAAGTATGCTACAAATAGTGGAGGGGCAGGGGAAGGAAGTGACAAATCGATTATTGAAAGAGTAATCCTACCCTAGCATAACCTATTCTAATATAGTAAAAAAAAATCTGAGAAATTATTGTCTTTTTCTGTATAGAATTGGGGTTCTAGACAACATTCATTCTAAAAACTGTTTTTATTATCTTAGATAAGGTTAACGCTAGCTTAGGTTAATAACTTGCTTATTAGGCAAGTAAGTAATCTTGTTTCTACGACATATCAATAACTTGCTTGCTAAGCAATTTGACAATTTATTACGATAACGTTTATTGATTCGAAGAGAAAAAGACAGTCGGAAATATATACTTTTGGGCTGCAGTCCAGGGATCCGTGTATATAAAAGACCCCCGATTCCACTGACGACAATTGATAATATTGTGAATTTAGAAAATAAAAATCATCTAAATCCCATGTATTTTCTTATGAAGGTTAATTTTCGTCCTTTATGTACTGTTTTACCCCCTTTACTGATGAAGGCGCCTCAGGGGGGCGGTATTTCCGCAGAAGGAGTGGGTCAAAGATGGCTGAAGATGACAGCTGTCAAAGGTGTCTGAGTAGGAGTGGAGGGGAGGGGGTAAAACAGTACTGAAAGGACGAAAACGAACCTTCATAAGAAAACACATGGAA